AGGGTGGTGTGGGTGGTGAGGATGGAGTTGTAGGGCTCAACTACAGCTGTGGAGACCTGGGGGGCTGGGTAAATGGAGAACTCCAGCTTGGACTTCTTGCCATAATCGACGGAGAGACGTTCCATCAGCAGGGAGGTGAACCCAGAACCGGTTCCCCCACCAAAGCTGTGGAAAACCAAGAAGCCCTGAAGGCCCGTGCACTGGTCAGCCTGTCAGAAAAGAAAAAGAGTGTTAATTTTAGCCTCAGCGAGCGCTGCAGTGACTTCTTTAAATCCTTAATTACTACATTGATCGAGATTTTAAAAATCTTTTGAATATTTGCTAGGAAAGCAGTTGCAAAAAGCTTCCAAAGTGCTAAGTGGTTCAGAGAAACTTTTCACAATCAACTCCTGGGGGAAGGGGACATCTGCTAAAAGGCTATTTTAAAGTGAAATCTTTTCATCTCCGAGGGCAGAGGAACCGTGAGGTCTGGAACGATGCAGGGCCCAAGTCTCAGTGACCGGAAGGGCGACCTCTGGTGCCCTTGCTGCGACAGAACAAGGGCAACTCCTTTTTTTGTTTTGTACTTTTTCCTATTTATTTTTTTTATAATATAAAGTACAGAAAATGGGAATTTTAAAACTATGTATGAAAAATGTCACGTAAATGACCTCCAATTTCTGCTTCGCAAGCACGGGCTCTTTCTATGGCATTTTCCATGGTGGCTCTTATTATATCTGGCTCCAGCACTTGAATTTCTTCCCGAATGAAGGGCAACTCTTATCAGCTGGAGAGCTACCAAGGGCAGGCCTGGGACCACCAGCTCCGTACAATGGATGTCTGTCTTACAAAGACCTGGCAGAGGCTTTCGGAGCTGGAATACAACAGAACAGCCAAGCTGAATGCCCTGGTATTGGAATCAGGCTGGGTCTGGATCTGGTTCTACCAGGGCCTTGCTGTGTGACTTTGACCAAATTCATTTCTCAATCTCGGTTTTCTCATTTAGTAAATGAGGATAGTAATCTACCTCAGGCTGTTGAGAACTACATGAGCACTTGGAACAGTGCCTGGCACGGTAAGCACTAGTCACCCGAAAGCCCAGCCGTTTCGGGAAAGCTGATGTACTGTCAACCGAGCTGTTCTGGTTAGCCAACTCCAAGATGATTCTGACCCCTCAAACAAAGTCTTCTGCTGACAACCCTTACTTCTCAAAAGTGCTGAGGTTTGTGGACATTCTCTACCAACCCCTCAGAACTCACTTCTCCAGTAGATCCCTACACTGAATGGGATCAATGTACGGGGCAAACCCTAGTTTACCAATTACATCCATTACTCATATGGACACAGTAGTAACACCAAGGGCCAATGCAATGGTTTTGGTAGTTAATGAACTTCACTCATAAACCCTCAATGGCTTTTACTAGGTTTATTTGTCCCTAAAGGCGGGTCCTGATTCCCAAGTCAGTGCTTGTAGCTAAAGTTTGACTTGCAAACATAGGAACCAATACTCCAATTTTGCTGGGGCAACCATGATAAACATCTGGAAAAATATCAGGCCACTCTTTTTAGAATAGACCAGTTGTGGCTGGACTTAGTAGCTAACAAGCTAGTCTACCCAAGCACTCATTCTTGATTTTGGGTTAATTACTTACAAGCTGCCCACATGTCTAAGGAGCAGAGTCAGCTGACTGCAGGACTCTTAAAATGACCCAGAACAGTTATCAACGTCATTGATGTGAACACAATTGCCTAAGATTTTTCTGCCACAGGGCGAGTCCACACCACCCTGAGCACTATTAGAAAAGCAAGCCTACTGCTTTTTGTGTTTCTATCTCAATGCCTTCCTCGTTTCAGTTATTGATACTTGCTTCTGTAACAAGGGAGCTCTGCAGATAGAGCAGGGGTGGGCAAACTTTTTGACTCGAGGGCCACAATGGGTTCTTAAACTGGACCGGAGGGCCGGAACAAAAGCATGGATGGAGTGTTTGTGTGAACTAATATAAATTCAAAGTAAACATCATTACATAAAAGGGTACGGTTTTTTTTTTTTTAGTTTTATTCACTTCAAACGGGCCGGATCCGGCCCGCAGGCCGTAGTTTGCCCACGGCTGAGATAGAGTGTCAGGCTGCGGACTGAAGGTTCCGGGTCCCATTCAGGTCAAGGGCACATGCCTGGGTTGCAGATTCAATCCTTGGTGTGGGGCATGCAGGAGGCAGCCAATCAATGATTCTCTCTCATCATTGATGTTTCTATCTCTCTCCCCCTCTCTGAAATCAATAAAAATATATCCTATATAATAAAAGCCTAATATGCAAATTGTCCCCTTGACCAGGAATTCGACAACATGCTACAACATGCGCTGACCACCAGGGGCCAGTGCGAAACATGGTGGGCGTCGGCAACAGGGTGATGGTAGCGGGCAGCAGCACAGGCACTGCCGCCCCCATGGGCCCCGAGGAGAGTGGGACCACAGCGGGATGGTGGAGCATGTGAGCAGGCGGCACCAGGCCAAGGTGGGTGCAAGTGGGGGGCGGGGCTGCCACCCGGCTCCCAGGCACTGAGGGAGCTGGGCAGGGGCCCAATGACTCAGGCGGAGGGGGCGCGCACAGGGGCCCCAGGGCCCAGGTGCCACTCAGGGCCCAGAGGTCAGCTGCCCTTCCACGCCAGACGCTTCGATCGCCAGCCAGGCCTAGGGACAGCACCCTGCATGAATTTCATGCACCAGGCCTCTAGTATATATAAAATAAGGGAGCTCCCCCAACTCCACTTTCAGTGTTGTTCAACATTTCCACTGTCGGCCATTTCTAATCCATGTTATACTGGCTTCTGCAGCCCTGAACTTTTTGTACCAACATAAGGCACCAGGCCAGATTTTTTTTTTTTAAAGTTTGATCATTTAGTTACATGTCAGAGTCAGCCACCTACTCATTTAGTGTGACTAAGATATCCTAAAAAGGGATGTCTCAGCTTGAAGCAGGGAAGCTGACTGGTTAATATGAACAGGGATGTTTAATGGGCTTATATGTCAGTCAAACTGCTCAGGCTCCTTGTTCTCACCCTGACTCCTGGTGAAATGCCCTCACTGAATGAGCAATTGTCCAAACCTGCCTTGTAAGGCATTGCTCTTTTGCCTATTGTTCTCATCCCTACCCCAAAGAGTAGTCCCACACCCAGGACTGTCTAGTTTCGAAATAGAATTATTTAGTAAGGCCTATTTTTTAAAAAAAAATAATTTAAGAATATTTTTTATTGGCCTGAGCATCAACCTATGAACCAGGAGGTCACAGTTCAATTCCTGGTCAGGGCACATGCCTGGGTTGCAGGCTCGATCCCCAGTGTGGGGTGTGCAGGAGGTAGCTGATCAACAATTCTCTCTCATCATTGATGTTTCTGCCTCTCTCTCCCTCTCCCTTCCTCTCTGAAATCAATAAAATATAAATATATATATATATTATCTCCTGCATGTCCCCTACCAGGGATCAAGCCTACACCCCGGCATGTGTCCTGAGTGGGAATGGAGCTAGCAACCTTTTGGTGCACGGGATGATGCTCAACCAAGTGAGCCACACCAGCCAGGGCCTAAGGCCTATTTTAGTGTGCGAGGAATGATTGCTGTGGTTTGGTCTCTCTTTAAAACTCTAGGAGAAAACTCTCACCCCACTTTAAATAAAGTACTGTGTTTACCAGTTTCCGAATTCGGTCCAGGACCAGGTCAATGATCTCCTTGCCAATGGTGTAGTGTCCACGGGCATAGTTATTGGCAGCATCTTCCTTGCCTGTGATCAGCTGCTCAGGGTGGAAGAGCTGGCGGTAGGTGCCAGTGCGAAAAACAAAGCAGCTGCCCATCACTAACAACCTGCACAGCCTGCTCAACCCCAAGGCCTCAACAGAGCCCCCAGGACACACCTCCTGTCCCAGACCCCCGGGATCTTACTTGGGTTACTGAGGTCAACTCACCAATGACTGTGGGTTCCAGGTCTACAAACACTGCCCTGGGCACATGCTTGCCAGCGCCTGTCTCACTGAAGAAGGTGTTGAAGGAGTCATCTCCCCCGCCAATGGTCTTGTCACTTGGCATCTGGCCATCGGGCTGGATGCCGTGTTCCAGGCAGTAGAGCTCCCAGCAGGCATTGCCGATCTGGACACCAGCTTGGCCAACATGGATGGAGATGCACTCACGCTGTGGTAGGAAGAAAAGGAAAATGTCAGAATAGGACACATCAGATGGGACTTTTAGGAATGATTCACACCAAAACGACTCATTAAACTTTAGGACAGATTAATCACCTTTCGGAAGGCCACTCCTGCCCCAGGACTATTGCACAATCAAGCCTGTGGAAGACTGATTCAGAAAAAATGCTTGGGAAAACCAAAGATATGTTAATTAACTATTAGGCAGACTACAGACCAGACCCTTCCTTTGCAGCCACATTAAAGGTCAGGTTTCTACCCATCCCAGAAAAACAAAGCCGCTGTAGAGCAATCCATTTCCCCCAGCTCCTGGAAAATATGTTGGCCGAGCCCTTAAAGGCATGCAAAATTCATCTTTCAGCCATGATTCATTCTGTGAGATTGTGTAACTATTGAGCTCATTCTGGTCCCTCTTTAATCCTATTCTTTAAAAGACAAGAGCTTGCCCTCGCCAGTTTGGCTCAGTGGATAGAGTGTCGGCCTGCAGACTGAAAGGTCCTGGGTTTGATTCCAGTCAAGGGCACATGCCTGGGTTGTGGGCTGGATCCCAGTGGGGGGCTTGCAGGAGGCGGCCGGTCAATGATTCTCTTTCATCATTGATTTCTCTCTCTCCCTTTCCCTTCCTCTCTGAAATCAATAAAAATAGTTAAAAATAAATAAAGAAAAAATAATAAAAGACAAGAGCTTCTCCCTCCCTTTAAAACCAGTTTAAACCAGCAAACTGCAGCCATATGACTCATGGAGAAAACACCAGATAAGCAGCGGTTAGCTCTATTTTACAAACTGGTCAGAGGCAGCTTTCTAACTGTGAGTTTAATCTTAAGGAACAACATTTTCCCTTCACTGAGGGAAGGTAGGGTGGGATGGAGACACATGTAAATAAAAGCCAAGACTTTACTAACAATTTTGGAAATTAGTGGTTTCCTAGTAAAATGTACATATATCTTTGGCAGTGTGGGGAAAATCTACAGTTTCAAGAGTTTAACAATATTATTGAGAAAATGTTTTCCTTTATTTGCTTAACAAAATAGTTTGTTACCAAATTCATTCCTGTTTAGTAAAACAAGGCAATGAATAGCTATACTCACAGACTTAAGAGGGAAACCAACAAAAATAAGAAGTGTTTACTGTATTAGATTAGTTACTTTGGGGACTGGCAGAGGACTTTCAAAATGTTGACAATAAATATCCCCCATTTTCCTCAAATAAGAGAGTTTTAAGTTTTTAAAAGTCACTAATAGAAAACTAGTTAAAGAAAATTCAACACCAGCTAAGATCTCAAAGAGTCTAGTTTCATAACCTGAGATAATAAAACCCTAATCACTCGCAACCTTGAACTGTGGTCCCCTCCTTCCCACCTACACTTCACTCCCCATAAAACAATCACGGTCTCCTGATCACATCAGCAAGCTCAGGGGTCACCTGCACCCTCTCGCCCAGCTCCAGGGCTGTGGGAGAAGGGGAGTTGTCTGTTCTAATGAACCCATGACTATTTACCATTGCATCATGTTTACCTTTAACTAGACTTTGGAAATTCCACAGCTCAAGAAAGTTGGAGAGTCAGAGATCTGTTCACAACAGAACCGGGTCCAGGAGATGAAGAATCTCAGAAGATACTCTCAATCTAATGAAACACTTCTATTGAAACCTTTTGGGCCCCCAAACTCTCTTTCATTGTTCAACAGGCGACCTGGATTCCTTGTTTAAATTGTGCCCTCCACTACCCCATGGCCACTAGGGAGATGGACAGACCTACACATATGATAGAGTCAATTAGTTTAGCTTTAACTGGATAAGTAGCCACTGTCTCTCTTATTTGTTGATTGATTTTAGAGAGGAAGGGGGGAGAAGGGGGAAGAAACATCGATTTGTTGTTCCACTTATTTATCTATTTGCTGGTTGACTCCCATATGCATTCTGTCCTGGGATCGAACTGGCAACCTATATAAAAAACTATTCATCTAACATGTTATTGTTGAAATAAAGGTCTGCTGCTGTGGCTGCTCTGCTGCCCTTTAAACCATCGATTTTCAACCCTTTTCAGCTCATGGCATACATAAACTAATTACTAAAATTCTGCAGCATACTGAAAAATATATTTTTTTGAGAATCTAAGGGAAAAGAGGCCAGTGCCCCTAACTAAATTAGTCAGGTATTGCACGTTTTAAAAATTCTTGTGGCACACTGGTTGAAAGTCGCTGCTTTAAACAGTGATTTCTGAAGTGCACTTTTACCAGTATTTGGGGGTTTGCTTGGTGAAAAGCATTCAAGCAAGTTGTTACAGTCAGACATACTTTTGGTAACTGTGGTAATCTCTCAAGAATGTAACTTGCCGGCTATTCTTTTTTTAAAGATACTGTTTCTTCTTTTTTAACGATACTGTTTTGAAACATTTGATACATAAATACTGGTTTTAAAACATGGCTTATTGTAGACCAACAGAGGCTCTCTTAGTTGTTTTTAACACCTCTGGAAGTTACATAGAAAACACTCAAGCTGTGTGTACAGTTCCATGTTTCTTTAAAACTACAAATACATCGTCAGTACTAGTGACTCTGTGGTTTTACAAGAAAATATCCTTTCATGGGCTTGTTTTTAACAGGCTGGCTTAAGCTATAAACAGCCCTCTAACTGAGCACCAGAAATGCAGGGCTGGACCCGGTGGGGAGGAGCCCGCCGCCAGCCTCCAGGTGGATTGGTGCAATGGGAGCCTCCCCGGAGCCCGGCCACAGGTGACTCAGCAGCGAGTCACAGGGCGCGGAGGGGGGGCAGCGGGCGTTTGCACCTTCCGAGCGGAAGCGCACGCGGTGCCCCAGGTGCTCCCACTGCGCAAGGGAAGGTGAGGTCATTGGGGAAACGGGAAGGAGGGGCTCCAGCTTTCCCGAGCCCTGGGGAGCCGCCGGGAAGGCTCCCTCGCGGACCTTGGGCGATGGCGGGCTCTGGGATGACACCCTCTCTTTGGGATCAAGAGGGCTTTCCGCTTCCACCGAGGGCAGCGGCCGGGCCGCGCCTTCCAGCCCACGGAGGCGTCCGCCCGGCGAACTCAACTTCCCCAGCCCGGTCTCCAGAAGCCAGTTTGCTGGAGGCTTCCGGGAT